TACTACTACTACTACTACTACTACTACTACTACTATTACTACCACCACTGCTGCTGCTGCTGCTGCTGCTACTACTACTATTACGATTACCACCACTACTACTATTTTTACTACTACTAATTCTTGTGCTTTCTGGGTTTTTTTGGGAGTTCGTTCTTTCTTTCTTTCTTTCTTTCTTTCTTTCTTTCTTTCTTTCTTTCTTTCTTTCTTTCTTTCTTTCTTTCTTTCTTTCTTTCTTTCTTTCTTTCTTTCTTTCTTTCTTTCTTTCTTTCTTTCTTTTTCTTTCTTTCTTTTCTTTCTTTCTTTTCTTTCTTTCTTTCTTTCTTTTTCTTTCTTTTTCTTTCTTTCTTTCTTTCTTTCTTTCTTTCTTTCTTTCTTTTCTTTCTTTCTTTCTTTCTTTCTTTCTTTCTTTCTTTCTTTCTACTACTACTACTACTACTACTACTACTACTACTACTACTACTACTACTACTACTACTACTACTACTACTACTACTACTACTACTACTACTACTACTACTACTACTACTACTACTACTACTACCGCTGCTGCTGCTGCTGCTGCTACTACTACTACTACTACTACTACGATTACCACCACTACTACTACTTTTACTACTACTAATTCTTGTGCTTTCTGGGTTTTTTTGGGTTCTTTTTGTCTTTCTTTTCTTTCTTTCTTTCTTTCTTTCTTTCTTTCTTTCTTTCTTTCTTTCTTTCTTTCTTTCTTTCTTTCTTTCTTTCTTTCTTTCTTTCTTTCTTTCTTTCTTTCTTTCTTTCTTTCTTTCTTTCTTTCTTTTTTTTCTGCCTTTCTCTTTCTTTCTATCTTTCTGTCTGTCTTTCTTTCTTTCTTCTTCCCAAACCTGTTGCTTTTCTTTTTTTCTCATCTGTAATCTCCTAAAGTAACAAAAACCCTTATCACTCACCTAAGCTCTCTATAGACACTGTAACGATTGTCTGAAGTTTGCAGCTAAGGATTTCTACGGAATGTCGTAGCCAGCCTTACAACAACCTCGTTTAGTGGCCTCTTGTAACTTACACAGAGGTAACAATGTTACCATTTGTGGCTTCCCTCTTGTGAGTCCCGCTTAAACCTAGGAGTGTACATTTATTACAATTCAAAATACCTCAGTAATGTGGGTCACGATGACATATTTAACCCTGTTCTACACGTCGCTATATAAATGTCGTACTTAAAAATCAGTTGTGTGGAAGACGAATGGTTCATACGTTTTAAATGACTGTTTCCGGCTAGCGAAAAAAAAAAGTATGGTAAAGGTGATCATTCCAATTATTTATAAGTTTCAAACGACCGTTTTCGGCGAGTGAAAAAAAGTATAGGTCTTGTCAAATACAGATTTTAGCATGTGGTGCAAGCCTCACGTTGGTACAAATCAGTCAGCAATCGATTGGTGATGTAGTCATTTCCTAGTACTCTTTAGCCTGGCCGATCTGGGAATTAATGCCATTTTGTGAAACACCGCTCCAATGCGGATTCAACCAAGTGACATTCAGGTCGTCAGTTAAGTGTCTGGCTCCTGTGCTAACGCATCTCCTGAAACAGTGTAGACTTGTTTGGATTTCCCATAAGAAGAAAATGCGGTTTACTCAGCATTAACCCACTAGTAGTTGCTCGGACATCTCAGTTTCTCAAATAACAATGAGGGGGAAAACAAACTGGCTGACCTATGAAGTTCTTTCCCGCGTAGCGGTGGCCTGTTCGTCTTCTCTTTTTGATTTCCAGCTACTAAGGTATGTTCTCACAAGACGTTTCATTAAACAACACAGAACAGGCGTTATCAGTCGTTTTACACTTGTGGAGCTTTTGAGGGGGAGATCGGAGCACCTATGGATCTGTCAGGAGTACTGTGATGATAATCCTCTCTAATCACTAATTACTAATCACTAATGTATGTTCTCGTATCTGGAAATCTAAAGATGCAGACCAATAGACAACAGGGTCAGCTCTTCTCTTTTGTCGTTTCACTGGTAACAGGTTGTAGCCCGTTGTCGTGGTTTTCTGTATTTGTCTTGCGCTTTTCGGATTTGTTAATATTGTTTGCAGGTTTCAGCTACATCATTTATCCATCTTTTGGTATTCTCCTCGTCTTCCTTTCAAATGTTCTGATGTGAAGAGTCTCATATACAGTTTGGTCTGGCTGCATTTAACCTTGTTGAGCTAAATTCCTAATAGGGACATGCTAGCATCCAGTTTTTATATATAGCTAAGAATCTTGTATGATACATGGACTGAGACTGACATATTTGTGGCAAAATACGTGTGCAGTAAAGGGAATATTTTTGTTTATTGTTTACTAATTGCTCATGATTTACAGTCACCTTTTGATACTGGTTGTATGAAGCAGGCAAGCTTCCTTTTTCTAATCTCCGCCTCTTTTTTTTTTCCTTCTCCCTGCGAGGTTTTTTTTTAGTTCAAAGGACTGCATTTCTTTATGAAGACTGTGGTACGATGCATGACTCAAATTGATCATACAACTTTCTTTTCCCTAGATTGCCGGGGCATGTCTCAAGAACATGTTCAGTATTTTATGGGGGCCTTCCCACACGGGCAAAGTTCTGATAGCCCATCTCGAATTGTGTGTACACATGGCTGAAGAGTCTGTTACACCTGGTTTCTTTCGCGTGAACAAGTTAATTGGGTCTTCTGGATTGTGTTCTCGATTTCTCAAATGTTTCAATGCGTTCTAAATGATGCTTTGAACCGGGGTTTCCCCCTCATAAGTGCACTCTGTGTTTGTCTGATCTGCATTACTTCCGATCTTTACTGATTAATTAGTCTGCTCTTTTATTTGCCCTAGTGATGCATGGACTGAGATACATTGGACAGCATACTGTGCTTGCTCAGCCGTCACATTTGATTCAGCAGAGGTGTACCCTTGCTGAATTTAGTTGCTTATAATTGTGTGTTGCTTGCAGTACTGAGCGGAAATCTGTTAGTATAAATATTTATGTCTCATTGCTGCACTCTCTAAGTAATATGGATATGGCTTACTGAAGTGTTTTCTTGTGGGGAGACTTTGCTCTCTTAAAATACAGATGGACCATTCAATATAGATTTCACCTCCTCGATCCCATACAACTGGTGCCCTAGCTTTGAGGTATGACTATAATATCTATATATATCTTTAGACCCGGCACTTCCTACTTTAGCATGCTTTTCTGTTAGGTTGTGCTTCCCTGGTGGACGATCAAATAGGACCTATCCATTTGACAGTGAATGTTTGTGATTCGAGTTTCTTCTCTACGTGGATTGCTGTCCTCTACTGATGGGCACTGTCTGCTTGCTTCATTAGCTTTTTCCCCAAGTATAAACCCCAAAAAGGACCAGTGTGTTTCTTGTAGCCTGTTCTCTAACCTTTGATCTGTCCGGCTTGGGAGACCCTACTGATAGCTATTCCACCGCAGGCCTAACTCTCAGGCTCATTTAGAAACACAAGCTCACACAACACGTCACGATCGAAACCCTTCGGGGGATTTATAACCTCGAAAGACAAGAATGTATTGTATACGATGTTCTTCGTTTAATTAAAAAAAAAAAAAAAAAAACCGGTTCTGCTTGTCCTACTATGTTCTTTACCTCTGTAGCTCTGTGATGCACCTTTCATATGATGTTTTCAATACATATACAGTAGAACCCCGCTTAACGAGCACTCTCATAACGAGTAATTCGCATAACGAGCAAAACAAATTTTAAAAGAATGACTTGCTTAACGAGCAACGTTTCGCAAAACGAGTGGCGAGGAGAGGGGAAGTCACGGATTGTGCCTATGTTACATCAGTCTATGTTTAGCACTCGTTCCAGTAGCATCGTAGTGTCGCTTGTGATCACACATTTGCTCAAACTTGTGTTATATTGTTATATTTGTACATGAATCCTCTAGGCCTACAATATGACCTCTCTGAAGAATTTAAGTTCCTCAAGATCTAGTTTCTGCCTCCCGACACCACTCCGTTAATCCAGCCCATGGACCTGCAAGTTATTTCTAGCTTTAGGAAGCTCTACACTAAAGCACTCTTAGAGCATTGTTTTCAGGTGACTGAGGGGACCAACCTTACTCTCAGTTTTGGAAAAATCAATTCCATATCGTTGCCTTTCTCAAGATGAACAAGGCGGGGAAAGGGTTTACCAAGAGAACCCTAACTTCTGCTTGAAAGCAGCTTTGGCCGGAGAGCTTTATCGAGTAGTGACTTTGAGGGGTTGGAGACAGTAACCGTGGAACCTGTAGTCCAACGAGATTGTGTCTTTGGCCACTATCATGGGATTGTAGGAGGATAACAGTGATATCGAAAAGCTTGTGGAAAAGCACAGCCAAGAGCTGACCACCGAAGAGCCTATGGAGTTGCATTGTGTTTCCCAGCAAGAAGTTTTAGAGGAAAGTGTGTCAGAGGAAGAGGAAGAGGTAACAGAAAAGCAACACACTTCTGGCGAAATATGAGAAATGCTGAAAGCATGGGAAACTGTTGCATCTTACATTGAGAAGCATCACCCTAATAATAAAGTGGCTTTGCGCGCTGCAAATTTATTTAATAATATTGCTGTGTCGCATTTTCGCCAAATTTCGAAGCGTCGGCAAAAACAAATGTCTCTGGCATCTTTCTAGTACAAAACTAACTATGTATCATAATTTGTTTGACTTTTTGTTTTGTTTTCTGCAAATCGATTACGCATTCCAGGTGGGTTCGTTCCACGTTTAAAGAAAATAGGAAGATGATTTACTCTCCTTAACAATATGCATTTAATTTTCTTTGAATAAACGTTATGCATAGCATTTTGTGGGATTTTTTTCGGCATGCAACGCATCATCGTATTTTACATTAATTTATATGAGTAAAAATTGTTTCGCATAACGAGTGTTTTGCTTAACGAGTATGATTCTGGAACGAATTATGCTCGTTAAGCGAGGTTCCACTGTACATATTTGCAATTCTGTTGTTCTCAGATAACAACCATTCTTTATTTTCTGCGCGCCATTTTACAGGTTCCTTGGCTACATCATCCCCTGACCGCATGGCCTCGCCCAGTGATCCCCAGTCGTCGGATAATTCACACCAGGACCACCAGTCGTCAGATAATTCACCGCCTGATCACCATCCACCAGACAAGCAGTCCCAGCACCAGCAGACAGACAGTCATAAAGACGATGAGTGTCATTTCAAGAACACAGAGATCGCGCTTCCTATCACGTTTTCTCTAGAGATGCCATCCTATGTAATGATTGCAGGTCATCGCTTTCATATAAAACTGCAAATGCCTGTTGTTAATCAAGGAAAATAAACGCAATAAAACTATTCTGTTTGGATGTATGTACAGATTATAATTACTCCATCGCCCCCGCCCCTCACCCCTACTAACAAATGATAGTAGCCGGGACAATTTAATAAAACAAAGTTGATGACACCCGATAATATTTTGAAATAACACAAAACAAAATAATTATTTGTTAAGATTTGCAAAGTAACATGTTATTTTTATTTATATATTTCGTTTTATTGGCAGTAACTCAATTCTCTCTCCCCCCCCCCCCCCCCAAAAAAAAATGATTACATAGTTAACACACACATGTCCAGTTGGACACCAGAATAGTAATGTAGTTTGCCAGAATTATACCAATGATTATTGGGCTATCACAGAATATTATTCTCATTGATTCCTGGGTATCCCCATCTGCCGGCACAAGGTCATGGTTTCAAATCCGCGTACAGGCAGATTGTTTCTTATCCAAAATTGACCTTAACTCCTAGATCGACCTAGCTTACAATGAGTACCAGGCTGTGGCCTGAAAAGTAAAGACGGCCAATATATGTTGACCACATCACGCATCCGCTTTCATTTGGTCTATAGGAATAAAGATATATCCCTAAACCAAGACCTATCCTTTTGACAATGGAGGTTTGTGTTCATTCTCATTCCCGTGGGAAGACTGCGCTCTTTTAAAGTACCAAGGGATCATTCAGTAAAGATTCCACCTCCAAATGGGTCACCACAGTCTGGTGAGAGTGATGCAGCGGGAAGTGACGAGGGGATCTGGTCGATACTTGACGCTCAGAGGAAAGGCAAGATGGACGTATAATTATAATACTATTGACACTATTGGTACTGGAACACTGCGCTGGCGGCTGAAGTTGGCGACTGAGCGCTTATGAGAATGCCCCGAGTGCTGTGATGTCGGTCCTTAAATCAACTCATCTAAATGCCTGCTGCGTTAAATGGTGAGAAACGTTTTTTTTCCCCCCTCTACTTAATTTCTGGGTAGCGAATCGGATCCTAGACCTCATCAGTAATGTCCTGTAAATTATGGTGTCCTATTGAGAATGTTGGGACTTAAGGATCCTTCGATTTCTTTGCCAGTGGGACAACATAAAATGTTCCGACTGACTGACGCTCAACCCCACCAGAACATCACACTGAGCGATAAACGCCCGGTGACACAAAGTCCTACATCTCGGATGAGGATCACCCGGAGATAGGTCCCAGAAACCACGTTCTACCCATAGGGTGGGTTACCTGGTGTTTTAGCTTTTAAGATGCATTTTCTCATTTTCTTAATTACAGCACACTCTCCTCCTCCTCCTCCTTCTCTTTTCCGTCTCCCCTTTCCCCTCTCCACCTCCCGTCATTTTCTCTCGTATCGCTCTATGTGTACAGTGACTTGGTGAGTGTGAGGTGGCGTCCCGTTTTTTAAAGCAGTTGAGTATTTTGAGCGGGAAAAAAATAAAAGAATTGTCCTCTTGTACGGCGAGAATAAACTGGGAACTATTTAAAATACGTCCGACTTGCAGTGTGGTCTATAGACACATGAGTCTAGCCCTATTTGCCCGATGCGCCTCTGGTGTGTAAAGCGACATTTACTTTTACTTTTGCTTACACAATAAACTCCATCACTGGAAAACGACATTTTTGAATGCTGTATGAAACCCAATTTTAATTAACTTAATACCATGATTATGCTGAAGAATCAGGCACTTTTTCCTTTAAATGATAGTAAATGACTGGGAAATGAGATGGAAGGGTGCTGGAAAGATCAGAAAAGATAAGTACACAATAATGTGATGATGATGATGAAGTGACTGGCAGCCATTCCTTGCACATCCCGCGCAAAATAAATGCTGCATAAAATCGAAGGCAGGATTGTAAAGAACTTTTATAGTGAACTTTGGTGTGCGTCTTGGCTGTATACTATCGCCACTTCTTTTTATAACATACATGGATAGTATATGTAAAAAATGAACTTTAATCATGAAGAAGATATTACAGCATTACTATTCGCCGACGACCCGGTACTCATAACAAAAAGTACGGAATGTCTACAGAACCACCTAAATCAAATTAATAACAAAGGGAAGGAATATAGTATAAGAATAAACACTACGAAGACAGAAACAACGGTTATAGGAAGACTGACTGACTGACTTTCTACCCCACCAGGACATCACACAAGCGACAAACACTCGATGACACAAAATGCCACCACGCGGATGAGGATCGCCGTGGAGAGGTCCCAGAAATCGCGTTCAGACAACTGGCCATATTTATGGCCTGCCTATATTGCAGCCCCTGGCAAAAGCCAGGGTAGGGCTTCAAATAACAAAAAATTTCATCCCGAAAAGGACGAAACTGGATCAATCTATAGGAAGACAGAAAGACAATTTAAAAATGAAATTAAAAACAACGCCTCAAGACAAACAAATAAATTCAAGTAGCAATTTTCAAATCCCATGGAAAACTGGACAGAGAAATTAGCTAATCAAGTAATGGGGCAACTATCTCCACTGTTGACACACAAGCAGATACCCTGGAGAACTACAGTTAACTGAAAGTCGTCCCCTCGTGGGATGCAATTTTTTAGTGGTGTTTATTCTCATATTGTATTCCTTCCCTTTGTCATTAATTTGATTTAGGTGGTTCTGTAAGCATTCCGTACTTTCTGCTATGAGTACCTAGTCGTCGGCGAATAGAAATTCGGTAATATCTTGTAACTCTCACCTAAATTAAGAAAATACAAAGAAATGGATGAAGGGTGAGAAGGAGCATTTCCAGGCAGTAAATATGCAATTAGTATACCATTAAAGATTTTTATTTATAAAATGTATGGTTTTATATTAAACATGCGTTTGTAGTAAGAAAATTACCTCCCATTAAATTGTAAAACAAAAATTTAAATGTCTAACATCAGTTCTTATCAGTGGCTTCCTTCTGTTTCTGTGGCGAGGAAGGCTTTAGAAGCCTATTTAAAGTTCAAAGCGTCTGTCGTTACCTTAAGACCCCTTAAGAGAGTGGTTTTCAACCTTCCTAATGCCGCAACCCTTTAATACAGTTCCTCATGATTTGGTGACCCCCGAACCAGAAAATATCATTCTTCTACTTCACAATTTCTGTAAATATGTGTTCTCCGATGGTCTTATGCGACCCCTGTGAAATCGTCGTTCGACCATAAAGGGGTCGATACCCACAGGCTGAGAACAGCTGTCTAAAGATCTCAATGACATTGTTATTTAAGACACTGGTGGCTTTATAAACAACAGCTTGAATTGGATCCCACTTGATCACTAATTCTTCTAATTCGTCACAGTGCTGCAAGTGGTAAAACAGAAACAATTTTTTTTTTAATGTAACTTTTTAGGAATGCTCCCTTTTTATTGCTGTCTCCGTTCTCTTAAGTCATTGCTATTTCCCCTCATCCCTTACTTTGTTCCGTTTCGATTCTTAACTAATGTAGCTCGTCAGTGGTCATTACTGATTACTGATTTAAAAATTGACATCATAGCACCTCGGGCATACCCATAGATGCTCCGTCTCCCCCAGCAAATGTCTTAATGTGTAGATGCTAACTGTTGCCGCAGCACACTGATTATACACAAATCGTTTATTTTTCTCTCATCAGTTTCTCCATGTTGGATTCACACCTAATTCTGCCTTCACACATTTTTGCACACGTATTTCATCTAATCTCGTGTTTTCTGTCAGCAGTCGGTAATGTATGATCTTTAGAATACCTCCCTTGTCCAACATGAAGGTTCCCACAGCTTTCACTATTGTAGCCAGAAAATCCGCTTTTTCATTCCCTCGCACTCCTGCATATCCCAGACAGTATATGCACGTGACTCCCTGCAATGTTGGTGCACTGAAGCTTGGTATCCACTCATGCCACATTAGTCCATTTTGAACCTTCCGCAGTGTCGACTGAGAATCAGACACAAAAATTCCTCTGGTAACTTTGTCTATTGCTATCCAATTCAAAGCTGCAGTGATTGCTTCCACTTCCTTTCCCATGAAGTGGCCAGCTCAGTGTTATGCTCCTCTTCCAGCTCCTCTATGTCTGCTTCGTCAACTTCCAAATGCATGGTCCTCCCCTGGGAGACAACTGTATCAACAATGTCAAGTTCTCTTTCAGAACTTTCCAATATTTTCCTAGCACGGAGTAGGACTACAATTTTTCAAGGCTGATTTTAGAGTTTTCACCTAAACATCTTTTCAAACCTAACAAATAGGACGCTGTAGATTATTGAAGTGATTCCTACATAATTCCTTGACGATTAAACTCGAAACATCTTTCGAAAAGCAATTAAGTAAAAACTTTTTTTTTTCTTAGTTGGAAGCAACACATTCATCCCCTCGTTGTAGGATAAGGAGGTAATAGGAAGAACTTTTTCAAATGAAATTATACTTTTCATTCAAAACGTCCAACATGCGCAGTGCATCACGATTCGCATCTCGTTTTTAGGTTCGTATATGGAGGTTCAAATAGAATATAAAAAAGAATTAGATTTTGAGAAATAGAGCGGTTCTTAAGTCGAAGTACAACTGTACATATTTCTACTTCATCGTTTTGTTTTACTGGTTTCTTGTTTTGGTTCTTTCTTGCCTTAACTCTTTTTCGTCGTTTTCTTGGTCTTGTAGCCACTATTTATTATGTGTCCCCATAAGTCGATCCATAAAGAAAAAGCTCGTCTATGTCGTCTACAAGGCCCAATATAGAAGACATCATAATCAACTACTAGGAATAACTAGTAGAGGTACTTTGTAGTGGCTGCTGCATCGGAGGCCTGGGCACGCATGAGAATGTTCAGTGTGCAATAAAGTCGACTGTGTTAAACCTAAAATAAAAGGAAACACTGGGGGCCGCGTTAGGGCAGTCGATAGGAGACTCGCTTTCAAATCCAGCTGCCACTCGCTGCAGCCCATGGTCGGTGTTCGAAACCAGACGGTTCCCGGGGTTCACTCAGCCTCTAGGTAATGGGTACCAGAGTTAACACTTGGCGGTAAATGGAGGAACT